TCATTGTGTAAAGCTGATGCTACAGTGCAATTTCCCAGCTTTGCATAAATGAAGTCTGTCTGTCTATCTATATTTATCGATCTAATGTTTTAATGGCAATGAATTTTTGCATTTTTTTTAATGCAGGAGTCTTGGCGTCCACTGTTCGAAGGTGCGTTCCTTGACCCTCGACTCGTGGGAACCAGAGTTATTAAAGGTATGGTTAATTCTTCGAAAAGCTCAGCATGTTGGAGCCAGTTACAACGTCTATTTTATTTCCTCGCAGTTGATGTGTGAGCTTGGAAACAGCGTCATCAATCGCGTTTATGAAGGTTCCTATCAAGAGCAGGGTCTGAAGAAACCATCGCCCTCCAGTTCAAGGTCAGGATGTGGAAAAATGCAGCTAATTGGCACATCAGCTTTTATTTCATAGGCAGAAAAAAATAAAGGATTAAAACCTCTTCTGTTGCAGGCAGGAAAAAGAGGCGTGGATTCGAGCCAAGTATGTGGAGAAGAAATTCCTGAAGAGGCTGGGTTCCACTGAGATCCTGGTTAATGGAGAGAGGAAGTCAGAGAGGCGGTGGAGCGTGAAGAAGTGCAGAAGACACAACAGCGCCACCACTGTTCCAAAAACCCAGCGGAGATACAGACAAGAGCCTGGCAGCACCTCTCCTTCTGCTCTCTCAATAGGCAGGCTAATAATTCACTTTTTACAAATGGCTGATTTAATGACAGCTAGGTGATGTTCAGTTAAAATGATTACCGAACATAGAAACAAACATCAGTTCACTTACTGTTAACGGAAAGGACATCTTTTGTCAGTGCTAGGGTTTAATCCGGTGTTTGCAGGTTCTACGTCCGTTTAAATCAGACCTCAAGTGTGCAAAAAACAACAGCTTATCATTATTTTAGTAACAATAACAAACTTCTAATGGCAAAACAGTGTAGAAAATAAGAACTAAGTTTGTCACATGACTTAAAAGCCTCAGTAGATGGTGTTTCTGTCTGGCTTTAGTCTCTGACTGTTGCGAAGGAATTTTAGTACATTCTCCTCTATAAATCCTTCCTTTATATCTTTTAAATTGAATAGACATTAAAAGGAGTACCGTAGTTTCTGGACTATAAGCCGCTACCTTTTTTTCATGCTTTGAACAATGTGGCTTAAGGCTGATTAAGTCACAGTGAGCTTGACGCAGACATTTTTGATTTATGCTCAAGTTTGAAGAATGGTCCGCGCCACGCCACAACGCCAGTGGGACAATCAGGAACTAGCTGCGGCTCTAGATACGGCCGAGATGGTGAGGAAGTGGGAACAAGTTTGTGCCTCATCGGAGGGATGTGAGGGCAAAAAAGAGCAGGGATTCAGGTGGAAAAAGGGTCCCAGCATTCTCGCACACTTCGCTCTTCTAGTTGGTCCAACTTCACGAGTTGATTCCCGCAATGGCGGTCATACAAACAAAAGAAGCCGGTCTCCTGTCTGCGGCACTGTGTGTGGTCACCTACAATTTGGAAGGTGCAGCAGAGTGTCTGCGGAGGGGGCGGGGACGTCTTTGCGTTCACTGAGACGCCCTACGCAGACGACCTGGTTTCGAAGTATAAATCAGCCTTTATAAGAAGATGCAGCTTTTCTGTGGATTTTTGCCAACCGGTAGAGGGGGAAATCAGGGCTGGTAATGAAAGAATAAGGGGCTAATGTACATTTAGCACAA